GCTGGCCCTGGCCCGCAGGATCCATTCTCTTTTTCCTTCTTACAGAGCCTAATTTTTATTTCACTCTACCACCAGCCACCAAAGGTGGATTTGCATTGGCTTAAGGCAATCAACAATTTCCATTTCTTGGGAGATCAAGACTGGTTCAAGGGTGAGCATGTGACCTAAATCATCCAACGCTGAGTCGACTTAAGTATTCTTTCTTATAATATTAGGAGGAAGCTGTTCTTATTTCTAGGTTGTGTGGGTTTCAAACATGGGCCTGGCTCCTTTCTGTCATAGGGAAAGTCTGTGGATGAAACCAGCCTCTGTGAGGAAGTAAGGATCAAGTGAATTAGGAGTGAAGAGTGAGCCTTGAGATTGGCTTTGAAACTACTTTCCAGAAATGCCCATTTGAGGTGAACTCTATGTATCTTTAGCAGTAAGGATATTAATAGACTTTCAAGAGACTAAACATTGTGGTTTACAGATGACATCTAATTTAGTAGTCATAACAACTCTATGCAGAAGATATTGTAATCTCATTTTAGTGAAGGTTGAAATAAAGTCATAAAAAGAGTAAGTGGCATGTTTAAAGGCACCAAATAGATATTTTCATGCAGGACCACCTGGGACTCCATCCCCCCTTCCCTCTCTGCAGTGATTAGTGATTCTGGATGAGAACATGTGATGCAAGCTGAGCCAATCAGAATTCTTCCCTGGGGTTTTCCTTCCTGGTGATGGGGGAAAAGAGTTCTTTCTTCCCTAGTTGTGAAGCTCCTCTTTCTGGAAATTTCTTTTTGACCATACTCACAAGATTATAGGGGAGGCAGCCATGTTACGATGTGACCTAGTCTTTTGTTATGGTTGAGTGCTTTAATGGTGATAACTTGACCCACTCCCTACAAATCTCAGTCAGTCATGGGTGGCTTAAAAATATATCCACAAGTTCTTTCAAAAGGTGAAAGCTTAAATTCCCTCAGCTTGAAAGTGGACTGGACTTGTGATTTACTGTTAACGCAAATGAAATTCCAAGGTTGGTCATAAATAGATGATTATTGCTGAAAGTTCTCTACCTTGGGTGAGTCATTGCAGAGGAAGTCAAGTCCAAGTATGAGGACTCTCCAGCAGCCTGTGGGGGATATGCTGGGTGGAGCCCTGTAGCAAACAGTACTAACTTGTGCCACACTGGAGCATACTTTTTGAAAACAGGTTCTCCAAGCCCAAGGAAACCTTCTGATGATTTCTGGCATGACAGAGTCATGATAATTCAAAAAAGCTATCTTCAGAAATTATGTGACATCATAATAAACACTAATATTCCGTAGTTATCCCCTAAATGGCAACTTAAAACAATAAGTATGGTTATTCAGATTTCAAACAAATCTTTTTCATCAAGATTCCAAAATGGTTTATTAGATGTATTTCCTTTACAAATAAAACTAACACTAGGATTTGTCAGAAGATTTAAGTGAGTTATATCCCTTATATATATGAATTCAACGGAATCATCACTGTGTCTGGAATCTGTTCATCACAAACTTGGGTCTGGTACATAATTCTTTTTTGTTATCCACTGCTGTGTGTCCCTTCTCTACGACTCCAGAACAGAAACTGTGATGTGCCAGTGCAAGATGGCAGTCACTGTCATCCACCAAAAGGAAAGTAACTTATTTGATGACATACTTATTACTAATTACTGGTAATTAGTATTTCTACTTTTTTTAAAAGGCAACCATTTTAAATGACAATACATATCAGGCTAGTAGAAAAAGCTTGAAACAAAGCCCTCTCTTTTGATCTCACAAAGTCATGCAGACAAGAGAAGGTAAGTATATCTGATTTGTTCTAATCAGGCTTCTTGGAATTAATAAAATTTTTTTAGGTAATTATATATGATTTGTTCTAATCAGGCTTCTTGGAGTTAACAAAATTTCTTTTCTCACAAAGATAAATTTGGCTCATCAGAGAAAGTTCTTTGAAGGCTGCTGCTGAACTTGGTTCCCTTTGAAAAAGTAAATTTCAAGGCATGATAGTGCAAGAGGTAAGTTTTTGATTTATAGAACATTTATAGACTAATTGTGCTTAGTCTCTAATTTCCAATTTGTTTTAAAGACTAGAAACTACACTGTTAAAGTTTTGTTTTTCCTAAATTTACCAGTACATCCATGAATCGCACCAGAAGTTGGACAATTTGATTATCTTAATGATTCTTTGTGAAACCTGCGCAGTCTGATGTGAGACCCACCGGACGGAGGCTCTAACATGTTCTGTGCAGAAAGACTCTCCTCTTGGGAGTCAAGGTATCTGAGAAAGCAGTTCTCCCCAGAGATTGAGTCCTTCACAAACTTTCGATAAGCAATTATGAAAAACAGTCCAAGGTGGACAGTTTCTTTTGTTCAGTTAAATCTGGGAGGTCTGAGTGTTCCTGGGATCCTCATCTGGATGTGTCATGGGTTGTGAATCCTTTGAATGTGAGAATTCACTATTAGAGGGCTCTGAAGGGTCAATCAAATTTTCATAATCGCTGTCATCTGAATCCCCGCCACTGTCTCCAGCTGCTGTTTGGGAAGGAAGGTCTGCTCCACTTCCAGTATGCTTGAGTCCGGCACTGGTGGAAGCGTAACTAGACCTGCGCATGGCTTGAGGTTGAGGCATAAAGACACTCCTTTCCATGTGAGAATGGCTCAGAGTACTTTCTTGATTGTTTGGGTGAAAATCAGAGTAAGGAGGTGGGGGTCAGAAGGTTCTGCATCTGCAAATGTACTTTACCCTCAGCTGCAAACCCAGAATAGGGCATCCGAGGACTGAACACAAGTTCCAGACTTTCAGATGGCATCTGTCTGCTTAACATAGCCTGTTGCAATCTTCTTTCTTGTTCTTTTTCATTTTGCCTCTGAGTGATTTGTCTTCTTAATTTATTTACTTCTGCCTGACAAGATTCAACAGCCCGTTTACTCTTTTTTACATCTGCACACACTGCCTGTACTTTCTCCTGAAGTGATAGATTGCCCTGATGTCTTACATTACTCCATCCTTGTCAAAAAAGTCAGCACCATGTTCTTTAATCACTTTGGCATAACTCTGAGAAGTATTTGGCACTGAAGATACTTCGTACTCTTGTTGGCCAATATTGCCTAGATTGGGAATTGTAAGTGATATCCTTTGATTATACCTGCGATTCGGTCTAAAGAGAACATATTCTAAAGCATGTGTGGAATTGTTGGCGGTGGACATGAAGCTGAAGAGAAGGGAGACGAGGTCAGGCACACCAAGGATGCGAGTGAGCTGCTCGTGGATAGCCTGCTCTCTGTATGACATTTGTTGCTGTGTGTTTCGCCTGAATCTGTACCATCCAATAACTTTCTTTCTTCGATCTTTAAGAATTCTGTCCAGACCCTCTTCATTAACTTTACTTGCACAGTCATAAAAACTAAAAAGTTTTGAACAAGGCTGATGGTTATGGATTTCAATTACTTGCAGAAATTCTGTGGCGCTAATTTGTGAGTCACTGATGCTAAAGGTTTCCTCTTGTCTTACCTCTCCTAGCAAAAATCCTTCATGGTCCGTGTTGCTGTTGGCGCTGTGGAAACATACAGCGCTGGAGGTGTATCCCGAAATGGAAGCCGCCATGATGGAAATCTCAGTTTTTTTTTTTTTTATAGAATTCAGAGTACAAGTCCTATTTTCCCTCTCTCCAGGAGTCCACTTTTTACCATCTTGTAGGGCACCTTTGTGGGGTTTTTCCTATGCATTTGGACACCTGACTATAAACGTGTGTCTATACACAGCTTTGATTTCTTTGCCTTTTGATAACACTGACTCTATTATGAATAGATCTTGTGCACACAAGGCCATGTAATTCATTTGTATTATTGCAGTGGAGTAGTATCCATTCTCCTGTTGTGGATATTTGACTGTTTCTAGCTTTTTGTGTGTTGTATATTTGTGCACACGTTTGTGCACACACATGTTTCCGTAGGAAAGTGGATCCCAGGATTAAATCAGAAGCTCACGCAGGTGTGGAAGTGGGCTGGAGCCTGTGAGGTCCTCAGATAAGGCTGGTCTTGAATTTGCAGTGATCCTCCTGCCTCAGCCTACTGAGTGCTGGGATTATAGGCATGTACCACCATGCCTGGCTTTCCAGGGTGGTTCTGAGTACCCTTTGCCCTCTGCCTTGTCCACAAAGGGCAATTTGTTTTTGCTAATTTGATTGGCCAAAGGGTACCCTTTCTTTGCTTTAATCTAAATGTCCTTAATTTTTTCAACTCTCAACTCCCCCTCCCCCCACCATTCTCTCACTTCTTCCCACGCTGACCACTGAGCACTTACTGTAGGCCTGTGCTGAGCCAGCCAGTCCAGCATGCGTGCAGCCCTGGACATCTGAGGGCATCCCAGACCCGTTATTGCTTAGTCTCAGGTGGCTGAATGCCACTTGTCCCTCTAAGAAGTTGGGGGACCCTGACCACCAGAAGAGGCTATTATGTAGTTGGCAGAGTTGTTTCCTTTCTTCTCCTGTGCTGAGCTGGCTGCCAGAATTTCTTTCACGCTCTGGGCCTCGAGACCAGACTCCCCGAGGGTGTAATTAGCACAGTCTAATCAGTGGGTGGATGTGCTGTGTGTAAGGAGCTAGGAAGATGGCTTTGATCGGCTTTATGAAGTGGTGGTGTTCTAGAACTTTCCTCTTTGAGATGTCCCTGTGGGATCAGCTGCCAGTGGAGTTGGCAGAGCTTTCGGAGGCAGAGGGGCTCTGGGGCAATCAGGGCATCTTGAGCCAATGGTGATGTTGCAATAAAAACCCAAACCCAGATTCAAAAGTCAGGGTGAGGGGGGTTAGCCATTCTGGAGTAGGAGCCGGGGTGGTGTAAGGGAGGCGATACAGACGTGGTTTAAAGGGAGCAAGACGGTAGGAACTGCAGGCCCAGCTCAGCCACTGCCAGCTACAGAACAGATAATAAATGAAACACAAAATATACAGTATTATTGCAAAACAGTTTTTGAACTTTTTCTTTAGGGTTTTTATTTATTTTTAAATTTTTCATGAGTACACATTTGCAACACATTCATCATGGGGAGCTGGCCCATGCGCATTACACATCTCAGTGCTTTTGACATTCCCTTCTGCTCTCCTCCCAACTTTTTTTGGTTGAATGCCTAAGAAATTTATTACAATAAAGTATACATTGCCATTAACCCCTCCAAATATCCCCGACCATGAGGACTTGTTGTTCTTGACATTTTCTGAAGCAGTTAGAAGTCCTCTTTCATGAGGGTCTTGGCGATGTGTGATAAAACAAAAACAAAACACAACACAAAACCCATAAATGCTGCAGTCTGGTGCCATCTAACAAAAAAACAGGCCCATTAAAAGCATTATGACGTGTCCTCATCCACCTTATTCACGAGATTTTGTATCATATGTGTGCGGTTCTTCCCCAAAGTCAAAATAACCATGAAAGGGTAGGTTTTGCCTTGAGTCAGGACACCGAGGCAGCCACAACGGCGAAACTGAAGAGCCTCATGAAAGAGGATTTCCAAAGTGCTTCAGAAAGTGGCGAGAAAGTGCTTCGAGTGAGGGGGAGCCTCTGAAGGCGGTTGACGGCCATGTGTCTTTTACTGTAATAGATTTTTAAAATGTAAACATTCCCATGCAGTTAGGTCACCACTTGTAGCTGGCACTGGCTGAGCTGGGACTGCAGTTCCTGCTGTCTTTTAACTATTTCAAATGAACAGTCTCATGGTGCACACAAACTCCTATCACCTCACTTTACACAGACACCCCGGGAGAGAGGTTTATTGTTCCCATCTTGCAGTGGAGGAAACTGAGTCTCAGGAAAGGTAAGTGGTGGGAGAGGGGCTTGAACTCAGGCTTTCAGAGTCTGGCTCAGTTGTTTTGATCTTCTCTCACCTGAATAAACTGCACATCCTCAGGGTCCGTCTTTTTCTTCTTGAGTGTTCATCTCAGCCTTGTAAAAAGCACAGGCTGCGTACCAGCCAGCATATTCCTCCACTGGGAGACACATGAAAACTTTGCAAAGAAACAAAACAACGATTATTTTTGTGTGTGTGAGAAAGAAGCAATATATGTCTGCTACTGGAAAATTAGTAAATAGGAACAACATGGAAATGATCTGTGTGGTGGCTGATTTCGTGTGGCTGAGCCACATGCTCTGGTAGTCTGGGTGTGTTTGTGAGGTTGGGGACCCGACTAGAAAAAAAGGTGGAGTCACGGGAAATTCCCCCTGCCTGACTGCGTGAACACACATCCGTCTCCTGCCTTGGTGTAGAATTTACACCCTGATTCTCCTGGGGGTCCAGCTTGTTGGCTGCAGGGCTCGGGACTCCTCAGCCTCCATAACTGCATGAGCCAACTCCTTATGATAATCTCTCTGTCATTGTCCCTCTCTGTCTCTCTTTCCACACACATTATTGATTCTGACTAATACAGTCAGCAATCCTACTCTTTAGATATGAGATTTTTTTAATTCCTTAGCTCTATAATATTTCAGATTTTTTCTGTGTGTTCAAATACCCACAGTGCTTTTGTATCTAGTAAGATGCAGTATAACGAATATATTTAAATAATTAATATTCTTTTCAATTTTCCAGAAACAATTTCTCTTATGTGTTTACTGTGATCTTTCTTTCTTTCTTTCTTTCTTTCTTTCTTTCTTTTGAGACAGACTCTCACTATGTAGTTCAGGTTGGCCTTGAACTCACTATGTAGCACAGGCTGGCCTCAAACGTCTGCCTCAGCCTCCCGAGTGCTGGGACTCCAGGCATGCACCATCGAGTCTGGCAGTTTTCCTGTGAATCTTGCACTTTCTGGGTGCTCAGCACAAGAGAAGAGACTGCATCACAGTGCTTATGGTCTTGCTAATAAAGCAATTTCTCCCACTTTCTTAACATATTTGTGATAAACATGACAAAGCACAAGAAAAAATATAGAAATCTTGAAGAATATCTATCATAAACTTAGCAGAGTTAGCCAAGGGGGGTCAGGGAAGTTAGGGATGATAAAGCAGAGTCGGAAAGAATGAGACATGACTTCGTAAGGAACAGGGTGTGCGGCTGCAGAGCAGTGAGCAGGGGTGACAGACCACTCAGCTCGGACAGGAACCAGGGTGGGCACCAGACCTCTTTACAGAGTAGAAGGAATTTTTCCTTGATTGCAAATCAATGGGAAACCATTGAAGGATTTAAAAACAGGTGCAGGACACCATCAGCTGTGTGGTATAGGAAGACTACTCAGGCGTGGGGAGGCAAGAGTGGGGTGGGGTGACCAGTTAGGATGTGGTCCTGGCATTGTGAGGAAGAGCTGGCCTGGTGTGGGGTGGTGCGGATGGAACCCGGTACCTCGTAGGCATGGTGGAGATGGGAGCTCCAGGGGGGCTTACATGCAACCGAGGAGGAGGGATGGGCTGGGCGGAAGAGGAGGTGGGAGTCCTGTTCAGCTCCACAGCTTCGTGAAGCCTGCAGAAAGGGAAGGACATTTGGGGGAAGGACGTCAGGGACAGGGTGCAGATGCCCCGTGGGGTTTGCACAAATTGAGTTTAAGGCATCTTTGAAATACCGGAACATCTAGGTCCTGCCACCAGCTGACAGGTGATTTTTCTCCCTGTTAGGTAGAAACTTAATTTCTAAAGCTGACTTTATTCCCATAACCAGGAAGCCAATATGGATGGAGATGGATAGAGAGAAGCAACTCATTCTTCATCATGGAAAGCCAACCAAAATTTTGTTCAACTCTCACAGGCACAGCCAAGACTTGTCAGACAAAGGAGGTTTGGAGGGGGACAGAAAGGAATTCTGCAAACCCCGCCCCCCAGCATTCTGGAAAAATCCTAGAATAGCAGTCATTCTGTTCCGAGCAGTTCAATCAAAACCCACCTTTACCCAGTACTGAATTCTAGCTTCCCTGAAAAGGTGCAGAGGGCCTTGGTAGGTATCCTGGAGTGGGGAGACCTTCCATTTGAATAGAGGCAAAGACAAAAAGAAAATTAATCAAGACAAGTAATCAAAGCTGAATTAAGCCCACATGCTAAGCACAGGCTCCACTGCATGATTAGGAGTAAATAGAAATATCTGTTTTCTTTCCTCCTGCTCTCCAGTCTTTACCTAGTGTTGTTTTTCCCATCTAAAGGTAAAGAGCAGTCTTAACAACCATCTCCATGAATGATGTGGACTTCTCTTGGAGTTTTCAATTTGGCTGTATTGATTTATAAGGTCTTTTCAATTACTGAATTCTTCTTGGTGGCAGCAGGTAGGGCCCGAGTACGTGAGGACCGTGCTCTATTGATCCTAGGTACTTGGGAAGGAGCTTTTGTGTGTCTGCTGTAGATTGATGGAGTTGCAAATAATGAAGCTTCCCACGCAACATTTATTAAATGAAAATCTAGAATTCATTAACACAGGAACTTGTCTCGTGTTAGAGAAGAAGGGAGAGGGCTTGAGGAAAGAAAGAGGAGCTACAGTAGTTATCATGAACATAATATATGAAGCAATTTGAATTCAAGGGGAGGCAATTTGGAATCTTATTAAATTTTGGTCTCTCCTTTTATTGTGTGAGCACGGTTGGGTGGCTTCTGGGGAGCCATCCATCAAAACACAGGTGCGTGGGGAAGACGGGGCCTGGAAAAAGAGCCCAGCTCCCAAATTCTCGCTCTCGTTGAAATGAGACGATTAGCCAGGATTGAGCATCTGGTAGGAGCTCAATAAAACGGAAAGAGAAATAATGAATGGATGCATGAATAAATGAATGAATGAATGAATGAATGGAGAGGCCATCGAACATTAGATCTGGATGTCAAGAGAGGCGGGTGCGGCTGAGCCCCAGCAGGTGCCATTCTGGAGTCACTTCTTTATCCTCTCACTTTCTACCTCGCCACACATTTATTGAGAATGGGCCGCGCACACACTACTACTTAAGCACTGTATTAGTTTCCTGGAGCTGTCTTAACAAATTACCTCCAGCTGGGTGGCTTCTGACACCAGCGATCTATTGGCTCACAGTTCTGGAGGAGAGAAGTCCAGCATCAAGGTGGTAACTGGACCTTGCTTCCCCCTGGGAGAATCTTACCTGGACTCTCCCAGCTTCTGGGGCCCAGGTGCTCCTTGATTTGTACCAGTGTGACTCCAACTTCTGCCTCTGTGGCATCTCTGCTGAGTGTCAATGTCTCAATCTTTCTTTCCTTAGAAGGATACCAGTCCCGATGTGGCATCCACTGGTAGCATCTCTGAAGACTCCATTTCCTAATAAGGGAGACGTGGCACTTTCTGGGAGGGGGAGCACACAATTTGGCACCCACTTCTGGGAACTAACCGTGAAGAAGGGGAGACGAACACGTGTATGCCAGAGAGCTCCCGGCTTAGGGTGACTGGTAACCAGCTTATCCCTCTTCATCCTGCCTGCAACTCGGAGAAACAGAACCGACGATGCCGATTTTTAGAGCTCAAGAGGCAGAGGTTCAGGAGTTGAAGTGACAAGGTAGTAAAGTGTCACTGCCTGATTCCTTTTACACGCTGATTGCAGGGAAGTTAGCAAATGGCAGAGAAAATCCACCCGCACATAGGTGAGTACTGAAATCGTGGTGCACAACCCTTCTTGAGCTGCAGTGGATACACTTTTAATTTGTGGAGCCTCTGATCCCTATCTCTGGCCAACTTCCCATCCATCTCTTTCTGCCAGGCTCCGGGAGGCAGGCTTGGCCTCCACCACACAATCCTGGCTACAGTACCCAGCCCACACCCAGGCCATCGGCCCCTTTCCTGGGGACTGGAAATAGAGACCAGGGACTCTGGAACAGGCCACGCTGGAGCACAGGCAGCTTCAGGAGCTGAGAGAGTGGTCAGCAGTTGGGAAGGAGAGAGAGAAGCCAGCTGCAAGCCAGTTTCAGGGATGATCCTTGCAATCCAGCCATATCTTACCCCTGAGTTCTCTGCACATCTCCTAGACAAACCTCCCTTTTCCAAATCGACTAAGATCTTTGATATCTTGCTGTTGCCTCCTGGTGCTCCCTTCCCCGCTGTACACCCACTGCAAGCTGAAGCTATCATAAGTCAAAAACGCATTTGATACACTTCACCTAGTGCACATCCCAGAGGAGCCATGGGCAGCCTGTGGAGTATCCATCGCTTCCCCTCGGGACCTCCAGGTCCATTGGAAACGGTGGTTTCCTGCCGATGCTCAGCCTCTGAGGGAGGGTTGGATAACGTATTGTTAGCCTGGGGGGAAAGACCAAAATTCACAGTGTGAAATAGGGTTTCTCCCCAATGTGTATGACTTTTGTCACATTGTAAGACGAACAGCTGTACCTAAGGAACTGTCAGTAGTTTGACAGAGTTTCTGCTACTTTCAAACAAAACAGTCCTAGAGCTAGTGGCATGGAAGAAAAGCTCAAAAGTAGTGTAAGCCAGAAAGACATTTATGTATTTATTTATTTACCAAGATGCCCAACACAAAGCGGTTCTGGAACGGTTATTGACTGTCTTTTGGTTATGCCTTCTCTGACGGGTAGGCAATGACTTCTTGCACGGTAACCAAATGGCCGCTGCAGCTCCAAGTATCACACCTCACAAGATAGTATCCAAGGAAAGGGAAACAGCTAGAGAAGATAGGCGTTTTTAAAAATATATATACCTCTATCTTTTTTGGAGGATGTGGGAAATCTACGTCCTGAAAAATCTCTGAGAAAATTTTCCAAGTGTCTTTTTGGTCAGGTCTGTGTTACATGCCCTGCTTCTAGACAAGAGGGAAGTCTAATGAATTATGGTTAGTTTAGTTAAGTTTGAATGTGTTCTCCAGAGCTAAACATGTTTATTCAATGGAGCGAAATCAGAGCCCTATGAGTCAGGGCGGAGTGCAGAATGCTACTTGGGAGGTAACCCAGATACCATGAACCCTAACTAATAAACTGCCTGTAATATTTTCCATCCTGGTATACTCACTTAAAATGCTGTGACCATGTTTGTTTCGATAACCCACAAAGTACATAGTCTCTTCCATTACACTACAGAACAGTGATGCTCAGCATAGATGCTGCAGTCAGTGATGGCTGCTCTCCCACTGCCCCTTGCCTCTTCTGTTGCCCTGGCAACAATACATTACTCTGACCCGATTATCAGGGTCACTTGTGTCTGTGCCTGCCTTTCCCATTTCTTTGTTAGAGACCATGTATTCCTCTCCATCAGGTAAGACTTAGGTTTCCAGAGAGGATGGTGAGCGTCCTCTCTCTACATCATCCTACCTGCCCACCCCTGGAGGGCGGACATTCAACACCAAGAGCTTGACCAGGAGGCTGCAGGTCCAAGAAGAGGGGGTTGCAGCGAGTGTGAGGGAGGAGCCAGCCCCCTCTCCCAAGTGCAGGGTACTGACGAAGGGGTCTGCGATTGGAATTTTTTGTCTCGGGGGCCTCACTAAGTCCTCGCACAAACAGTGTCTTTGCACTTTGAGATCCCAGCAGCTGCAGGAAGGGAGGGCAGAGGCAAAGTGGTATCGTGGTTCAGCACATGGGCTTTGGACTTGGGCTAGACTGGGTTTGAATCCTGGCTGTGCAAGACTGAGGCGAGACACTTAACCTTCAGGACTCTCGAGACTCTCCTTTGTTCACCCTGCGCCTGGAGTGTGGACCCGAGACGGTGCAGGTGGTGAACCTGGCATGTAGGAGACACTGACAGGACAGCTGCCGCGGGGGCTGCGGGAGGGTGTTCTCAGGGGCTGGTTCCTCTCCTGGCTCCCGGTTCTATATGGAGGAAGGAGGAAGGACAGTTGTGCTCCCCAATGTCCTCATCTGCAGAGAGGCAAAGTAATCAAATGAGATGTTTGGAAAGCATCCAGCACACCCTCGGGACTTGCTTAACGTGAGCCGTGATAATTACTAGCACTATTACTTGTACTAGTCTGACGTTTACTTATGCATTTAACAATTCTGAGTCCAGGGCTTTCCGGGAGCTGAGTCCTGTGCTTGGTTCTGGGGAACTCGGCTGTCCTGGAGAGGAACAGTATGAACCTTGCGGCTGAGACGCTCACCTTTGGGAGTGGATGCCTGGGTGCGGACCCTCTGACCCTCTCTTTGCTAGCTCACTCCCTTTGGCGCTCCTGGGAATCCTAGAGTTGGGAAGGCAGCAGAGATGGAGGGGGAGAGTGATCAGGAATACTGATTCTGTCAGGAAGAAGCGAGAACCAGCAAATGAGAGGAGACGCTGAGAACCCACTATGGAGGCTTCGAGGGACATTCTTTCTGAAGCCCCAAGGATCATTTGAATGCATCTAATTCAGTAGCAAAATAAACTCAGGCCTGTAGTGAGAATCAGGCTCTGTTGGGCCAGGAAACATGAGGTATATTCAGAGATCCTGGCAGCAAAGGCTCATGAGTCTCCTTGCCTGCCAACCTGAGTAAATAGATGGGCCAGGCTGGAAGGATGTTTGGAAAATTTGGGAAAAGGGAGTACTGGCTTCTGTTTGTGGTTGATTTCAGCTTGGAGTGGCCACATGCAAGG